TACTGTATATTGTCTCTGTTCCCCTTTTTGGTCTGTGTTAGTTTTGGGCTCTCTCTTCACTTACAGGATCCCTTTTAATATTTCTTGCAGGGCTGGTTTAGTGATCACAAATTCTTTTAGTTTAGTTTCTGTTTGTCCTGGAACATCTTTATCTCCCCTTCCATTCTGAATGACAGCCTTGCTGGATAAAGTATTCTTGGCTGCATGTTTTTCTCATTTAGTACCCTGAATATATCATGCCAGTCCTTTCTGGCCTGCCAGGTCTCTGGATAGGTCTGCTGCCAGCCTAATGTTTCTACCATTGTAGGTTAAGAAGCTTTTGCCTCGAGTTGCTTTCAGGATTTTCCTTTTATCTCTGAAATTTGCAAGCTTCACTAGTATATGTCAGCATGTTGGTCTCTTATTATTTTTGAGGAGGGTTCTCTCTACCTTTTGGACTTGAATACCTGCTCCCTTCCCCAGATTAAGGAAGTTCTCAGTTATGATTTGCTCAAATATACCTTCTGTCCATCTCTCTTTCTTCTTCCTCTGGGAACCCAATAATTCTAATATTGTCTCACTTTATGGTAGTGCTGATTTCTGAAGTCTACCCTCATGGTCCATTAGTTTTTCTCTCTTTTCCTCAGCTTCCTTCTTTTCCAGCATCTTGTCTTCTATGTCACTGACTCTTCTGCCTCATTTACCCTAGCTGTTGGAGCATCCAATTTAGATGGCATCTCAGTTAAAGCATTTTTAATTTTGGCCTGATTAGATTTATTTCTGCACTAAGCGTTTCTGTAGTGTTTTTTTTTTTATGTTTTTTTCAAGCCCAGCTTTATCATCATTATCCTGAATTCCAGCTCTGACATTTTACTTATATCCATATTATTAGATCTGTGGCAGACACTATTACCTCTGGTTCTTTCCTTTGTTGTGAATTCCTCCTTCTAGTTATTTTGGCCAGAGAAGAATGGACAAATGAGAGAACAAAATAAAAAATATCAACCAGAACCCAAGCGAAATACACACCAGACAAATCCAAAGAGGTCAGAAACCAAAAACTAAAAGGGAAAAAAAAAAAAGGGAGAAAAGAGAGAATATAATCTTCCAGGTGGACAAAACAGGGTGATCCACTTGGTCCTGGGTGTATTTTGGTCTGTTTGTTAGAAGACACTAAATCCCAGAATTGTAAAGAAAGCAAAACTCATATATATATACAAAAATAAATTGAATACAGGTAAAGGAAGCCAAAAATGAAGAATATAAAATGTAAATGTAAAAATAAAAGTTAAAAAAAGACTTAAAAACAAAGAGTTGATAAAATAAGAAACTAGTTGAAAAGGAAAATTTTAAACTGAAAGATAAAAGAATCATGAGAAAAAGACCCTCAAATTCTATATACTATTAGAATAGTGCTGGAGTTTTGCAGTTCTGTGTGCTTGGTAAAGTTGGTATTCCCCTGATGTTCCACCTGGTCCTTTGGGGGAGGGGCTCTCAGGTGTCTTTGCCTAGGTGGAGTGGCACCACCCTTGCCAGGGGGCAGGGCTCTGTGTAAGCTGCTTGGGTTGTTCTATGTTGCTTTTGCTCCCTGAAGGCTTTCTGGGCCACTTTAGAGGATGAAAATAAACATGGTGGCATCCCAAGCTCCAGCCCCAGAGCTGAAAGATCATCACCCTCCCTGTTCAGTATACCCTCAGGGAAAAGCAGTCTTTGTGTGCACCAAACTCTTCAGACTTCTGTGGTGTGCACTTGTGCCATTCCTCCAGGAGAAGGAAGGAGGAAGATTGCCAGGGGCCTATTGTGGGGAAGGCGGAGGGTCACCACGTTTCTGCCTTTTGCAGGTCCCCTGCATGGAGTGCGGTCGCTGGATTGTGCCCTGGTTCGCGGTTTATGGCAAACCAAGCTGAGAGCCCCGTCCCAGGATTGCTGACCGTATCTGGTTTCGCCACTCTGATGCTTGGGAACTCTGCTGGCTCAGGCATCCCTGTTCTTTCTGTGACCCTGGAGATCCTGAGACCACACGGTCTCACCTAAGATTTTGCCCTGCTTCACCACCTGAGCGCCTTTCAGGCAGGGACGTTTCTCATTGGAGACTTCTAAAAGTTCCTATTTTGTGTTCTGGAGCTATGTCACTTTCTGGTAGCTGGTTTAGGGGAGCTCCCTCGCCCCCCTCCCCCGCCCTGCCATTTACCTTCTGACATATCCCCTCTAATTCACTTCTCCACACCTCCTACCTTGCAATAAGTGGTTGCTTTTCTATGTGTAGAATTCCACCAATTCTTTTCTTACATCTCAGGTTGAATTCATAGGTGTTCGGAATGATTTGATAGTTATCTAAATTCAAGGAACCAGATGAAACAAGGTCCCCTACTCTTCTGCCATCTTGCCTCTCTTCTCATTCTTTTTTTTAAAAATTTTTATTGTTATGTTAATCACCATACATTACATCATTAGTTTTTGATGTAGTGTTCCATGATTCATTGTTTGTGCATAACACCCCGTGCTCCACACAGAACGTGCCCTCTTTAATACCCATGGTGATGGGTATCTCATTATCTTTTTAATGGCTGCTTGATTTCTAGTGAGTTCTTTCATTTCTATCAAATTTTTTTACTTTTTCAAAGAACCACTGCTTTTAAAATTTTCTCTATTGTTTTCCTATTTTCAACTTCATTGATCTCTGTTCTTTATTCTTATCCTCCTTTTGCTCACTTTTGGTTTATTTTGTTCTTCTTTTTCTAGCTTCTTGAGGTAGGAACTTAGGTTATTATGTTGAGACCTTTCTTAATCTTTTTTTATAACCATATTCTAATAAACATCTATGTCTTCCTTCTTAGCATCCCAACTGTTCATTCTAATATTATTTGCCATTGCCTCATAAAAGTTCGTTAAGTATACTTTTTAGGGAAAAAAAGCATAAAACAAATAAAATCTATATAATGATATTTATTTATTTATATATTTATTTATTTATTGACAGAGAGAGACACAGCGAGAGCAGGAACACAAGCAGAGGTAGTGGGAGAGGGAGAAGCAGGCTCACCACAGAGCAGGGAGCCCGATGTGGGGCGCGTCCAGGACCCTGGGATCATGACCTGAGCTGAAGGCCGATGCTTAACGACTGACCCACCCAGGTGCACCCCTTATAATGATTTTTTAAAAGATTTATTTAGGGGCACCTGGGTGGCTCAGTCATTAAGCATCTGCCTTCGGCGCAGGTCATGATCCTGGAGTCCTGGGATCGAGCCCCGCATCAGGCTCCCTGCTCAGCGGGAAGCCTGCTTCTCCCTCTCCCACTCCTCCTGCTTGTGTTTCCTCTCTCGCTGTGTCTCTCTCTGTCAAATAAATAAACAAATAATCTCTTTAAAAAAAAAATAGAAGATTTATATTTATTATTTGAGTGGGGGCAGGGATGGGCAGAGGGAGAGGGAGAGAATCTCAAGCAGACCGCCTGCTGAGCATGAAGCCCAATGCAGGGCTCCATCCCATGACCCTGAGATCATAACCTGTGCCAAAATCAGGAGCCAGATGCTTAACCTGGAAGCAGCCATGTTTTAATATTTTTATTGGCTACATTGAACATGGAATTCAGAAAATGCTTACTAATTTTTTTAAATTAAGGTATCACTGACAGATAACATATTAGTTTGAGGTGTATATAATGCTTGAATATTTATATATATTATTGTGAAATGATCACCAAAGTCTAGTTAACATCTGTCACCACACAGTTATAAAAATTTTTTTTTGTGATGAGAACTTTTAAGATCTACTCTTAGTTAACTTTCAGATATAGTCACCCTGCTCTACATTATATCCCCATTACATTATATCCGCATGACTTAATTATAACTGGAACTTCGTACCTTTTGATCCCCTTCATCATTTCATCCACCCCTACCCTCCTCCTCATGCAACCACCAATCTCCTCTGTATCTATAAACAGCAAAAGAATGAAAGTCCTTATTGTGTCATGAAAATTTTTCTCCATTTCTTTCCGCCTTTAGATACCTAAGACACTAGTAACCACTAGTCATTTGGGTTAAATCATTCTTCAGAAGCAGTATATTCAACTGAAAAGAAATGCTTAAGGAGCCAGATCTACGGAATGGCCTCTAGCAGTCACTCATTATGTCGTATCCAAACATTGTTAATCCTGATAAACAAGATAAACCCATTTCCTTTCACATATATCAAAAGGATACTGGGAAAGGAAGGAAAAAGATTTTATTGGAAGAGGTTTTATTAAAAGTTTTTAAGGTTTGGGGCACCTGAGTGGCTCAGTTGTTAAGCGTCTGTCTTCGGCTCAGTGATCCCAGGGTCCTGCGATCGAGCCCCATGTCAGGCTCCCTGCTCTCCCACTCCCCCTGCTGCTTGTGTTCCCCCTCTTGCTATGTCTCTCTCTGTCAAATAAATAAATAAAAAATCTTAAAAAAAAAAAGTTTTAAGGTTTCTGAATTGAAGTATATGAAAAGAAAATGAATAGATTATATGAAAACACTCAGACCATATTAAATGTCAAAACAAAACAGCACAAAGTTTTGAAAATACTATAAAATTTAATATTTCAAATAAATAAATACACATTATGCAACCTTCAGTAGGATCCATTATCATTACATAAAAGCACTGATATGTGTGTATATCTTCTAGGAATGTAAAAATTACATAGTTGTTGACTTCTATAAGGCAAGCCACCTATGACATATTTAAGAAAGCATTAATAAATTCATTACCTAATCTTATACAAATGTTTTATTTTTGCTAAAGCCTACCACAGTCCATAGGGCGCAAATGTTGGCCAACTATTTCTAACTTTTATGTTAGACAGTTTGTTTTTTAAACATTAAGATAGCTGAGAGAATCAACTTTACAGAGCTTAGCTTTTCTCAGGTATCTGACTTGTAGGAGGAGAAAGAGAAGTCCAGTGAAGTTATGAGGAATCACGTTGTTACTTTTCTAAAATGAAAAAATAAAAACATCTCATTTGATGACAATACACTTACAAGTCAAAATGGGTTCTAATACAAATGTATGGGAAGAGGTTTTGAAGAATAAATTGGATATCCCAGGGGAGGATCAGCTGCTTGTACCGTAAGGTTTCTTAAAAGTAGTGGATGAGCTTGTATACTATATCGCTCCTCATCATCGTTTGTGGCATAAAGCAATTCCCATGACAGATTGGCCCACTGACCTCTAACAGCTTCAGCATTTAACTTCCCAACTTGGATCAACAATTCTTGAAGGGTAAGTACTCTCCCAGTGTAAACTCCCTTTAAAGTATAAAAGGGGGTGGGGGAGGAGAAGAAAAAGTTATATTCAGGCCTTCACATTTTATTTATAAACTTCGAGAAAAATTCCATTGTAGTTAGGCAAACTTAAAAGAAAATGGTGTATTAAAATATACACACGAGTTACTTGTCTTCAGAATCAAGAATCACCTCTATTTGGTAGCTCTCTGAATAAGCTTGAAATGACAGCCATTCATTCAATAAACCAAACAGCAAAATCTCATCTACTTCTCTTTCCTTCTCTATTCCTTCACCCCATCTGGCCTCAACAATGCATTAGTCATAGATAGTAGACAGTGGACAATCACACAATAGGCTCTTTTTTTTTTTTTTAAAGATTTTATTTATTTAGTTGACAGAGAGAGAGAGAGACAGCGAGAGAGGGAACACAAGCAGGGGGAATGGGAGAGGGAGAAGCAGGGGGAATGGGAGAGGGAGAAGCAGGCCTCCCACCGAGCAGGAAGCCCGATGCGGGTCTTGATCCCAGGACCCTGGGGTCATGACCTGAGTGGAAGGCAGTCGCTTAACCAACTGAGCCACCCAGGCGCCCTCCACAATAGGCTCTTTTTAAAAGTTTTACTGAGATATAATTCACATTCCATACAATTTACTCATGTAAAGTGTGTAATTCAATAGTTTTTTAATTTTTTTTATTTATTTTTAAAAGATTTTATTTATTTATTTGACCGAGAGAGAGAGAGACACAGCAAGAGAGGGAACACAAGCAGGGGGAGTGGGAGAGGGAGAAGTGGGCTTCCCACGGAGCAGGGAGCCCGATGCGGGGCTCAATCCCAGGACCCTGGGATCATGACCTGAGCTGAAGGCAGATGCTTAATGACTGAGCCACCCAGGCGCCCCTCAATAGTTTTTTTAGTATATTCAAATGTATATAACTATCTCCACAATTTTAGAACATTTTCATGATCTCAAAAAGAAACTTGTGCTCTTTAGTTATTACTCTATCCCTTCATTCTCCCAGTCATAAGCAACCACTAATGTACTTTCTAGTTCTATAGTTTTGCCTTTTATGGAGCTATCATATGAATGGGATCATAATGGTCTTTTGTGACTGGCTTAACATAATATTTTCAAGGCTCATTCATGTTGTAGCATGTATCAGTACTTTATTCCTTTTTGTGGTGAATAAGCCACATTGTATGTATGGATATTGCATACATATTCCATTGTATGGATAAACCACAATTTGCTTATTGATTCATCAGTTGATGGATAGTTCGGTTGTTTCCACCTTTTGTCAGTTATGAATAAACCTGCTATAAACATCCATGTACAAGTTTCTATGTGGATCTATGCTTTCATTTCTCTTGGGTATATACCTAGGAGTGGAATTACTGAGTCATATGGTAACTCTAACTTTAATCATTTAAGAAACTGCCAAAATATTTTCCAAATGGTTGTACCATTTTACATTTCTGCTAGCACTGTATTAGAGTTCTAATTCTCCATATCCCCACCAATACTTATTTGACTTTTTGATTTCAGCCATTGTAGTATGTCCTTGTATGAAGTGGTATCATATTGTGGTTTTGGTTTGCATTTCTTTCATGACAAATGATATTGAACATCTTTTCATGGGCTTATTTATTGTGCCATTTGTATATCTCCTTTGAAGAAATATCTATAGAGATCCTTTGCTCATATTTTAAATAAAAGTCTTTTTTATTACTGCATTGTAAGGGTTCTTTAAATATCCTAGTAACAAGCCCCTTATCAGATATATGCAAATATTTTTCCCATTCTGTGAGTTGTCTTTTCACTTTCTTTTTTTTTTTTTAAAGATTTTATTTATATATTTGAGAGAGAGAATGAGAGACAGAGAGCACGAGAGGGAAGAGGGTCAGAGGGAGAAGCAGACCCCCCCGCTGAGCAGGGAGCCCGATGTGGGACTTGATCCCGGGACTCCAGGATCATGACCTGAGTCGAAGGCAGTCGCTTAACCAACTGAGGCACCCGTCTTTTCACTTTCTTGATTGTATCTTTTGAAGCACAAAAGTTTTTACTTTTGATTAAGTCCTATCTATTTTTGTTTTGTTTTCATGTTTTTGGTGTTATATTTCAGAATCCACTTCCATATTTGAGATCATACAGATTCACTATGTTCTCTTCTATGATTTTTATGGTGTTAGCTCTTATATTTAGGTCTTTGATTTATTTTGAGTTCATTTTTGCATATAGTATGAAGTAACGGCCTGCAGTTGGTTGAATGGTATCCCTCAAGGAAGATATATCTCAGCCTTAATCCATGGTATCTGTAAATCTTGTTTGAAATATGTCTTTGCAGATATAATTAAGAATCTTGAGATGAGATCATCCTGAATTTAGATGGCCCTAAATACAGTGGTTGGTGTCCTTAGAAAGGATGGGAGAACTGACATAGGGGGATATAGGAAAGGTGTTCACGTGAAGACAGAAACAGAGATTGGAGTTATGCTGTCACAAGCCAAGGAATACCAGGAGTCACCAGCAGCTGGAAGAGGCAAGATTCTCCCCTAAAGCCTCTGTACAGAGATTGGCCCTGCTGGCATCTTGATTTCAAGCTTTTGACCTCCAGAACTGTGAGAGAATAAATTTCTGTTGTTTTAAGCCACCCAGTTTGCAGTAATTTGTTGCAGCAGCTCTGAAAACTAATACAGGGTCCAATGACATTCTTTTGAATGTGGCTATCTGTCTCAACACCATTAGTTGAAAAGACTGTTCTTTCCCCTTAGAATGGTCTTGGCACCCTTGTTAAAATCAGTTGATCACAGCCACATGGATTTATTTCTAGATTTTGATTCAATTTCATTGATTTTTATCTCTATCTTTATGCTATTGCCATACTGTCTTAATTACTGTTGGTTTGTACAAAGTTATGAAATTTGTGTTAGTCTGACAATTTTGTTTAAGATTGTTCTGTATGGGGGTGCCTTGGTGGCTCAGTCGTTATGTGTCTGCCTTCGGCTCAGGTCATGATCCCAGGGTCCTGGGATTGAGCCCGGCATCAGGCTCCCTGCTCCGCAGGAAGCCTGCTTCTCCCTCTCCCTCTGCTCCTGCTTGTGTTCCCTCTCTCACTGTCTCTCTCTGTCAAATAAATAAAATCTTAAAAAAAAAAAAAAAGATTGTTCTGTATATTCAGGGTCCTTTGAAATTCCATATGAATTTTAGAATCAGCTTGCCAATGTCACAAAAAAGCCAGCTGAGATTCTGATAGGGATTGTACCAAATCTGTGAATCAACTGGGGAGTATTGTCATTGTATCATTTTGAGCCATGAACATGGGATGTTTTTTCATTTTATTAAATCTTAAATTATTCCTTTCAACAATGTTTTATAGTTTTCAGAGAACATGTTTCGTGCTTTTCTTGTTAAATTTCTTTCTAAGTATTATTAAGTAGAATTGTTTTCTTAACTTCATTTTTAGATTGTTCATTCCTAGTGTATGGAAATATAATAGATTTTTTTATGTTTATCTTGTATCCTGTAACCATGCTGAACTTATTAGTTTTAAGTTTTTTAGAGGATTCCTTAGATTTTTCTATACGCAAGATCAGAGATAATTTCACTTCTTCCTTTCTGAGTGTCTTTTTTTTCTTGCTTAATTACCTTGGCTAGAATCTCTAATATGATGTTTAATAAAAATGGTGAATGAAATCCTTGTCTTATTACTGATCTTAAGGGAAGGATTCAGCTTTTCACCAATAAGTATGATGCTAACTGTGGGTTTTTCATAGATGCCTTTATCAAATTGAGGAAAATCCTTGCTATTCCTAGTTTAATTATTTTTAGTATGAAAGGGTATTGGATTTTGTCAAATGCTTTTTCTGTGTCTACTGAGATGATTACATGGTTTTTTTTTAATTCAATTGATATGGTATATTACATTAATTGATTTTTCGATGTTAAAGAAACCTTGAATTCCTGGGATAAATACCACTTGGTCATGGGGTATAATTCTTTTTATATGTGGCTGGATTCAGCTTGCTATTATTTTGTTACAAATTTCTGCATCCACTTTGATAAAAGATATTAGTCTGTAGTTTTCTTTCCTTGTAATGTTTTTATAAGCTTTTGGTATCAGGGTAATACAGGCTTTAGAGAATGCATTGGTTAGTGCACCTTTTACTTCTATTTTTTTTTTTTTTTTGGAAGAGTTTATGAAGAACTGGTATTACTCTTTAAAATACTTGGGGCGGGGGGGCACCTGGGTGACTCAGTCATTAAGCGTCTGTCTTCGGCTCAGGTCATGATCCCAGGGTCCTGGGATAGAGCCCGGCATCAGTCTGCCTGCTCAGCAGGAAGCCTGCTTCTCCCTCTACCGCTCCTCCTGCTTGTGTTCTCTATCTCGCTGTCTCTCTGTGTCAAATAAATAAAATCTTAAAATAAAATAAAATAAAATACTTGGTAGAATTATGTAACAAAGCCATATAGTTTTCAGATTTTTTTTACAGTTAGTATTTTGATTACTAATTCAATCTCTAGTTGTTATAGATCTGTTCAGATTATCTATTTCTAATTGAGTCAGTTTCGGTAGTCTGTATTTGTAGGAATTTGTCCATTTCATCTAAGTTATATAATTCACTGGCATACAAGTATTCACAGTATTCCTTTATAATCATTTTTATTTCTATAAGGTCAGTAGTAATGTCCCTCTTTTTTTCATTTTCTATTTCATAATAATCTTTCTTATCTTATATTAATTTCTTTCTTCTGTTTTCTTTAAGTTTAGTTTACTCTTCTCTTTCCAGTGTCGTAAGATGGAAGGTTAAGCATTGATTTGAAATCTTTTTAAACAGGCATTTTAAAGCTATGAATTTTCCTCTAAAGACTGCTTTAATTGCACCTCACAAATTTTGGTATACTGTGTCTTCTTGTCATTCATCTCAATGTATATTCTAATTTCTTCTTTGACCACTAGCAACTTAGGCATGTGTTAATTTCCACATATCTGTTAGTTTCCTCAATTTCTTTCTCTTACTGATTTTTAATTTCATTTCCTTCTGGTCAGAGGATAAACTTTTTAGTATTTCAATCCTTTGAAATGTATTTTTTGTCTGGAGAATGTTCCATATATACTTCAGAAGAATGCATATCCTATTGTTTTTAGGTGGAATATTCTATAGATGTCTGTTTGGTGTTTTGGGTTTATAGTGTTGTTCAAGCATTCTGTTTTCTGTTGATCTTCTGCCTATTTGTTCTATCTATGACTGCAAGTAGGGTTTTGAAGTCTTAAATTATTATGGTTGAATTGTCTACTTCTCTCTTCATTTCTGTCAATTTTCCTTCATATATTTTGGTGGTTCATTGTTAGCTGCATATATAATTGTGCTAGCTTCCTGATGGACTGCCGCTTTTATCACTATAAAATGTCCTTCTTAATCTCTAATAACATTTTCTATTTCAAAGTCTATTATTTTCAAAGTCTATTATTTTCTGACAATAGTATAGGTACTCCAGCTTTCTTGCTGTTGCTGCTTGCCTGATATGCCTTTTTCACCCTTTTACTTTCAGTTTGTTTGTTTGTTTTTTAAAGATTTTATTTATTTATTTGACAGAGAGAGACACAGCAAGAGAGGGAACACAAGCAGGGGGAGTGGGAGAGGGAGAAGCAGGCTTCCCACTGAGCAGGGAGCCTGATGCGGGGCTTGATCCCAGGACCCTGGGATCATGACCTGAGCCGAACGCAGACGCTTAATGACTGAGCACCCAGGTGCCCCTTCAGTTTGTTTTTTTATCCAGTCTGACAATCTCTGCCTTTCAACTGTTTAATCTTTTAATGTTACTATTGATATAGCAGGATTTAAGTCTATCATTTTCCTTTTGTCTTTTATATCTCATCTTTTTTTTGTCCCTCTAGTCCTCTTTTACTGGTTTCTTTTGCATTGAGTGTATATCTTCTAATAAAGAATTTTAATTTAATGATTTTTTTCACTTAAAATAAGTTATTTCCTCAGTGGTTGCTCTAGGGCTTGCCATAAATAACTTATCAGAATCAGCATTAGTTTACACTAATTCTGGTGAGATAAGAAACAATAATCCTGTATAATTCTATTCTCCTTTTGCCCCTTTTTTGTGGTATTGTTATACATATTACATCTATAATGTTTCAAGCTTAATAATATATTATTATAATTATCATTTTACATACTTTTATGTCTTTTAAAGAAACTGAAAGGGAACAAGTATATATTTACTGCTTTTGCTACATTAACTTTTTATCATTTCTGGTTCTCCTTTATTCCTATGGATTCAAGTTATCATCTGGAATCATTTCTTTTGCTTAATACAGCTTTGTTTCCACTGACTTCCATTCTGCAATTATTGGCAAATATATCACATTTCTATATGATACAGGCCTAACAATACATTGATATAAGGAAGCATAATGCTTCCAGCTTTGGTCTTTCTCAAGATTGCTTTGGGTATTAGGGGTCTTTTGTGGTCCCATATAAATTTTAGGATTGTCTGTTTATTTCTGTGAAAAATGCCACTGGAGTTTTGATAGGAATTGCAGTGAATCTGTAGACTGCTTTGGGTGGTATGCACATTTTAATAGTACTAATTCTTCCAATCCATCTTTCCATTTATTTATGTCTTCTTCAATTTCTTGAATCTATGTCTTACAGTTTTCAATGTACAGGTCTTTCACTTCCTTGGTTAAACTTACTCCAAGGTATTTTATTTTTTTGATGTAATTATAAATTGTTTTCTTAACTTCTTTTTCTGATAGCTTGTTATTGGTGTATAGAAACACAACAGATTTGTGTATAGGTGATTTTGTATCCTGTAACTTTACTAAATTCGCTTATTATTTCTAAGTTTTTTGGTGGAGTACTTAGGACTTTTTATATATAGTATGTCATCTACAAATAGTAAGAGTTTTAATTCTTCCTTTCCAAATTGGATGACTTTATTTCTTTTTCTTGCCTAATTGCTGGGGCAGGACCTACAATACTATGTTGAATAAAAGTGGCAAGAGTGGCATCCTTGTCTTGTTCCTAATCATACAGGAAAAGCTTTCAGCTTTTCACCACTGAGTATGATGTTGGCTGTGGGCTGTCATATGTGACCTTATTATTGAGGTATTTTCCTTCTATATCCACTTTGTTTTCTTCTTTAAGCATGGTTTCTTTCTTTTTTTTTTTAAGATTTTATTTATTTATTTGACAGAGAGAGACACAGTGAGAGAGGGAACACAAGCAGGGGGAGTGGGAGAGGGAGAAGCGGGCTTCTCGCAGAACAGGGAGCCCCATGAGGGGCTTGATCCCAGGACCCCGGGACCATGCCAAGTCCAAGGCAGATGCCCAACAACTGAGCCACCCAGGCGCCCCTAAGCATGGTTTCTTTAAGTCCTTTGAACATTTTTATAATGACTACTTTGAAATCTTTGTTAAACCTGACATCTAGTCACTCATAGGCAATTTTCCCTCCTGGTGTTTGAGTCTGACTTTCCTGTTTCTTTTTATGTCCTATAATTTGTGTTCAATACTGGACATTTTATATAACACCACCACAATTCTGAGCATTGACCCCTGCCCTCCCCCACCCCAGGGCTTGTTATTTATTTGCTTATTAGTTTAGTAAGTGGCTGGATGACTTTAGTGAAGTTAATCCCTACTTCCCCCACAAGTGTGAAGCCTTTGATTTTGGTTCCTCAGGGACTGCAGCCTTGTGAATGTCCACAGTTACCATGAGATGGCAGTGGTTTTAGCAGGGCTCTCTTCATCTATTAATTTCTAAAACCCAGCTGCTAAGCTCCAATGATTGCCAGATGGTTGCTTTATGTTTTCAACAAAGACCTGGGAAGTGAATTGTTTCATAGACTGATCCAATTAAACGTGGGCACATTTTTTGACCCCAGGAGGGCTCTTCTCTACTGTTTCTTTCCCTGGTTCTATTTACATATTCAGCCTACAGTTTAGTTTATGTCTCTAACAAATTTACCAGTAGCCCCTTAATTACTCTTTACCACAAGCTCCATTGTTTTTGAGAGCATCTTAGGTGTCAATGTATTCACACTGTTGCAAGTAAAATAATTTCCTTTGGGAGACATTTAGAGTTCTCCCTCTGTTTTTAATGGTCTGCTTCCCCTCACTGGGCAAAATGTCTTAGCCAGAGCTCCGTATCTGGGGGTGAGACAATGGCATGCTTCTCTCCGAGAGACACCTCTGCGTTAGGAGGTAGAAGGGGAGCAGTAACCACAGGTCTTCTTGGCTTGCCTCTCCCAGTGTGGAACCTCCATCTTCCAAGGAGGTAAGGGTGGCCAGGGCCCCATTATTCTCAGTGGCACCAAGTCCAGAGTAAAGCCTCTATCCAAAGAGATGAGTTGGCCAGAAAGGAATTCTCACCTCTTAACGACACATACCCAGAACCCAGCCTCAGAACAGGTAGCTGGAGGTAAGATAAGAAATGTGAAGCCCTGACTCTCCCAGGAAAACAGTCTTCCAACTAGGAGCTGAAGTGAGAGGAGACCCTTCTTGTTTAGATCAATCTGAGGAGTTTCTGTCTTGTTGAGTTGGGAAGGAATAGTCTCTCACTATTCTTCCTGGGTTTTAGTTGAAACTTTTAAATAAATGTTTCTTCATTTGCATATGCCCTTAGGACCATTTCCAAGTCTTTAAATGGTTGTTTTTTAAAACCAACTTTCATTATTTTTGATGGGGAGCACATCTATGGAACTGCAATGCCAGATATGAAACCTCCAATGAGCATGTAACATTGAATCACATTGTGCACACCTGATGACAGTTTAAATGTAATGAGAACAGCTACTGATTTCTTTAAAAAAAAAAAAAGTTATTCCCTATTTGGAGTCTCTGAATTTTCACAGGTCAGATTTGCTTCAGGTAAAACACTGATATCAGCAAAAGGAATACTTTGCCACTTGTAATTTTTCTGCTAGGAGTCAAATTCAAAGTGATAATTCATGACTCAAATTTGGCATAGGAATATAATCCATTCAGTCAAAAGATGTTATAGAAAATTAAGTTTACTTGGTTATCTTATAGGTCAGTTACTGCACAGTGGCTACACATTTTTAATTAGCTCATATTAGGTTTGCAAAAGTAAATAATCAGTTATTCCAGGATTGTACTCTGTTGGCCATAAAGTTACAAAATGCCTTAATGATACGATTAATATATCCATACCCAGAATGTTCTATCACTTACACTTAGTTCAAATACTTTAGTTCTTTAAGGTCAATATATGAAAATGTTTAAAAACACATTTTTAACCTTACCATATTAGGGTCATATCCCAGAGAAAACAAGTATGGTTTTTCTTGTAAAATTGCTTCCTTCCACTTTTCATCAGATACCAAACCAATGTACCAGTCAGTTTCATATTCTTCAAGGCAGTTAATCAGCTCTTTAAAGTCTTCTATTGGACCTAAGCTTGCTTTATCAATCATTAGTTTCAGAGTATACCTTGAAAATGAAGAAACAAAGAACTTTAAAATTTTTAATAAAATTTGTAAGATCAACTTTATAGATGAAGTTTGTTCAATCAATATTTTTAAGACATTGCACTAAAATCATACATATTTCAGATAAAAAGATCAGGGAGAAATGATGGAGTGAAGTGAAAGTGAAGAAATCCAATAAGCCATATGAAAAAATAGGTTCTCCACATAAACAAAAAGGAAGTAGAAATTAAAATGTACTCCTGATATAATCACAGTACATATTAAGCATTTTTTTTTCATTTTTAGGAAAGTGATTATTTTCTAAAGTTAGAAATGAAGACGTATCTCCTTCTAGGTTAAAAAAAATCAATATTTTTCTGTCAGTCATAGTTTATGTATAATCAAAATGAATTACCTGAAAGCTTTCAGTGCTAGCTGGAACAGTTCTGGCTTTTCTGTGAGCCAATCCAAGGCAAGAGACCAAGGCAAAACACCACTGTAAACTCTCAATATATGACCAGGACTGGGAACCATATTGTCTACTCCAAATAAACTAAAATAACAAGTCATTACTGCATGAACATAGAAGTCTTTTAAAACTTTGTCCTTTGCAATTTCTTCCAGTACATTTGAAGCATTTTGTTCTGAATGTAAACATTCCAACTGCCTTAAAACAAATTGGTACCACTCTTCTGGAAATAATGAGCTCATCTCCCTCATTTTGGAATTAGGCAAACAGTTAGATGTCCACTCTTCAGGTAAGCTTAACAAGTGAGAATGAGAACAACTGAATTCCATGAGAGGGATACACGCCACATCTTTTTGTTTTCCTTTGTCAACAACAGGGTATCCCAATATAACTGACTCGTAAAGACTGTTTTCAGGAACTGTGCCTATAGAATGATCACCAACCCCCTGTGATTCTACTGACCCTGGAATAGGCAAATTTATACCTGATACAACTTTTAATTGATTTTTTTCTTCTTTTCCGATAGTTGGCTCATCACCAAAAACATTATCATCAGACCAATCATCCAAAATTTCTGAATTTAAACTATCTGTGTCTTCTGGGGATTGGGTTTGTGGTGAAGCATTCAAAGCAGGCAGGATTATTAGAGATGCTTTCCCTTTATTTTCAGTTTTGTGAACAACCTCCTGCACGCTGGGCTTTCTGGAACAGTACTGGACGAGTATCCACACAAGTACTTTAATAAGGTCACCTTTAAATTCTTTTAAATTATCATGAGAATCGATTATGCCAGATAGAACGTTCCTGGCATCAGAATAGAGTTTTACTGGCAAAACAGTACAGGGTGTCAAGACATTTCCAAAGTGTTCATTAATAGAACATATTCTTGAATATTCTTCTTCAAAGGCACTTTGAAAAACTTCATCAACTCTTTGAGCTTCAGCAGTATGACAGGATGTCTCTTGCAATTCTAACCCCTAAAGAAGAAATAACAAGTACTTGAGCTTATGATCACTTATTACACAGAGAAAAGCAACTACTTTTGTATATGCCCATGGGTTGGATTCTCATAATGAAAATATGGAAAGTGCAAAAAAAAATTACTTTAACTGAAGAGCTACACCTTTACTCAAACTTATTGGCACTTTAACACATTTGGTGCTGCATACAGAGATGAAAATTATGCTATCTTAAAAGAAATTATAGACATGCCATTAGAAATTGGCAAAACAATTTAATTGGCTATGACCATCATTTTGAAAGACTCTGTGTATAGTGAAGGTTGAATCACACTTACAAAAAACTTTTAAGATTTTATTCATTTGACAGAGACAGAGGGAGAGAGAGTGAGAGACCACAAGCAGGGAGGGTGGCAGAGGGAGAGGGAGAAGCAGACTCCCCGCTTAGCAGGGAGCCTGATGCAGGGCCTGATCCCAGGACCCTGAGATCATGACCCCAGCTGAAGGCAGATACTTAACCGACTGAGCCACTCAGGTGGCTCAGTCAGTTAAGCATCGGCCCAAGTAATAAAACTGTTTTAAATATAAAATTTTTTTGGAGGGCAAAGGCAAAATTGGAATTATATAGCATACACAGTAGTTTTGTATCCTACTTTATATGACAGCATTATTCTAATGTATGGATATGCCATAATTTATTCAATCATTTTCCTGTTCCAGTTTTTTAATTATAATAACATTATCATCATACAGATTTATGTATTTATGTGTTTGGTTACTGTCTGTCTCCTCCAACTATAATGTAAATCCCATAAAGCAGCTCTCTTTTGGTTGCTACTATGTCTGCAGTGCCTAAACCAGTACTTGACACAGTACTGGTATGCAACAAATATATGTTGATAGAATGAATACCATGAATGTGTTTTTATTTATTTTTTAAAGATTTATCCATTTATTTGAGGGGGGTAGGGGTAGGAGAGGGAGAGAGTCCCAAGCAGACTCTGTGCCCAGTGCGGAGCCCGATGTGCGGCTCAATCCCATGACCCTGAGATCATGACCCGAGATGAAACCAAGAGTCTGATACGCAACCAACTGCATCACCCAGGCACCCCTGAATGTGTTTTTATGTGAATTTTAAACACATTTTTATTACTTCTTTATGAGGAATCACTTGAAGAGGATGCATCCGATCACTGTTTACTATTATTATTGCTATCATTGTTTACTTATTTATACATTTTTACAAAATTACCAGTGTCTTTAATAAAACACAATGCTGTCAGGTTGTATTAGGATCCAGAGAAAGAACATGGAATGTGAACATCAGAAGCCATTTTTAAATCATGGCTTTCTTTACCAGGTGTTTGCACACAATTTTGAGTAGATCACTTATCCTGAGATTCCTTTTCTCTTTCAAAGAAAACTAATCCTAGCACATAGGGTTGTGAAGATTTAAGTAATAAAAGTGGTTTGTTGGGGTGCCTGGGTGGCTCAGTCAGTTAAGTATCGGACTCTTGATTTTGGCTCAGGTCATGATTCCAGGGTTGTGAGATCAAGCCCCACATCCGGCTCTGCACTGAGCATGGAGCCTGCTTCACATTCTCTACCTCTCCCCCTGCCCCTCCCCCCTCATAATCTCTCTCTAAACATAAGTAAATAAATAAATGAATAATTTTTTAAAAAGTGCTTTGTAAACTTTAAAGCACATAACATATAAATGTTGGTAAGATGGTACTGCTAAGCCACCTTGTGTCCAAAAAAATGAAAAGAAAAAAGGACTGCCATCAAAAAGTGTATTCTTACACATATAATAGAGCACAAAAGATCAATAAAGGATCCACTTTATTAGGCATTATAAAACATACCATTTTAAAAATAGAGCCTAAATGAAGCAATGAAAATGCCCTCAATATTTTTTTTTTTTAAAGATTTTATTTATTTGACAGAGAGAGACACACCGAGAGAGGGAACACAAGCTCAGAGAGGGAGAGAGGGAGAAGCAGGCCTCCTGCCGAGCAGGGAGCCTGATATGGGGCTCGAACCCAGGACCCTGGGATCATGACCTGAGCCGAAGGCAGACGCTTAACGACTGAGCCACCCAGGCGCCCCTGCCCTCAATATTTTTTAAACATTTTTTTTTATGCCCTCAATATTTTGTATGAGATTTTACCTTCTCTTACTTATACAGGTTAGACTAGGTTCTCAAACTTTAGGTGAGTCAGAATCACTGGAGGGTAGTTAAAACCTAGGTTGCTGGGCCCTCCTCTAGTTTCTGATTCAGAAGGTCTGAGGTGGTACCCAAGATTGTCCATTTCTAATAAGCTCCAGGAGATGTTAATATTCCTAATCTGGAGAACTGAATTTTGAGAACCACTGGGCTAAAGAAAAAGCTTATTAGTCACCAGCAATTTTATCCCATCTGTGCTAAGACAAAAAAATTCATTCATTCACCACTATTCATTCAACAAATATTTATCAAGGGCCTATTATGTGCCAGACACTGTTCCAGGGGCTTAGGATATAACCCTTCAAACAGAGATCCCTGCCCTTGTGACAATTACATTATGGAGTAAAGGGACACAGACAATCAACAATGAAAATAAATAAATTACACAGTTTGTTAGAAGGTATAAGTGCTAGAAAAATAGAAAAAGTAAAGCAAGCCAAGGGGGACTGGGAGTGCCAGAATGGGAGTGGGAATACAATTTTAAATAGGCTAGCAATAGCAGATCTCACTGAGGTGACATTTGAGCAAAGACTTGAAGGTGGTAAGGGAGTTAGCTGTGTGGTTATGTGAAGGAAGAGCATTCCAGGTAGAAAGAACAGCCAGTAGGCTGGAGCAGAGTGAGGGGATTCAAGTAGTAGATGAGCCCAAGAGGAAATAGAGAGCCTGACCATTTAAGGCCTTGGCTTTTACTCTGAATTAAAAAGAGATCCATTGTAGGGTTTTGAATACAGAAGTGACATGAAATGAGTAAGATACTAAAGATCACTCTAGTTGAGAACAGACTATAGGGAGGCACAGGTAGAAAGAAGCAGGGAGACCAATTAGGCGGTATTGCAATTACCCAGGAAAGAGATAAAGATAGCTAATAGTAGGGTGGTGAGGAGTGGTGGGATACAGGACATGGCTTAAAGACAGGGCCAACAGCATTTCTTGTTGGACTGCCTATGGGGTGTGAAGGTCAACAGGAGGGAACTATCACGGCACTAAAGCCCAAATGTTTGGGGGCTGAGCAACCAGAAGGATGGAGTTGTCACCAAGGACTGCTAGGCTCTGGGGTAGTCTGATGTTAAGAGGTCAAGGAAAAAAGGAGCGCCTGGGTGGCTCAGTCGGTTAAGCGTCTGCCTTGGGCTCAGGTCATGATCCCAGGGTCCTGGGACTGAGCCCCGATTCTAGCTCCCTGCTCAGCGGGGTGGCTGCTTCTCCCTCTCCCTCTCCCCCTTTTTCATGCTCTCTAATAAATAAAATCTTAAAGGAAAGAAAAGGAGGTCAAGGAAAAGAGAAGGAACCATGAAAGGAGACTGACAAGGACTGACCCATGAAACAAGCTAAAAGAAGGCACTGGGTCAAATGCCGCAGACAGGTCAAGCAAGACCAGGTCTGAGAACTGATCATTGGATTTAGCAATGTGATAGCCATTACAGATGCTGACAAGAGTAGTTTTGGTACAGTAATAGGTAACAGGGTCAAAAACAGAGTAAGTTGAAGAGAAAATGAGAGAAATGAAATTTGAGATTTGATTATAAGCAATTCTATTAAGGCACCTTGCTTTAAAAAGAGGGGAAAGACATGGTGTAGCAGGTAGGGTAGTAAGGATCAGAAGAGGTTTTTTATTAAGTTGAAAATGCTTATGTGATATAGGAGGGAAAAAATATTACTGAGTCATACTTTTGAGATGCGCAACTAGATAAGGTTATAAAGAACAAGCCTGGACAGAAAAGGGGCAGGTACATTTTGTTACTATGCTCTATTATACAATCAACACTAGTCCACCTATCAATATGTGCATACTGAAATACACTTTAAAAATCCCTAGGTATTTTCACAGGTAATTAATTGATACTCTTAAGTTGAGCTATTAAGTGTAGGATATGTCTGTAACAGGTAAAATTGTACACATGTGCTATGAAAATACTAGAGAGGTTTCAAATGTATATTGACCTTAACGTTAATACAGCAGTAAGTATAACCACATTCTAGAATCATTATCCATATTAAACGATCCTGAAAACGGCCCAAGTAATGAGACCCAGGTAAGAGGAGACCTAAAACAAATTAGAAAAAGAAAAAGTAAGTAATATTCAAGCTTGTTTTATTCTGCCATGTGAATCTTCAAAACTGATAAGACACTTGGAACTGATTCATAGCTCCTTTTATTCTCTATGTCAAGAATACAAACAATTATTCATTGCACATCGGGGGGCATTAAATTAAGCTCTTTACAGGAATAGGAACAGTTAAAAGAGAAAATCTATAGGTAATACTACATAAAAATTCAAGGATATATTTTCCAGAGAAACAACAAATTAGAACCTTCTATATAAAATACTAAATACAGTAGGAAAAGTATAAAAGTACTAAATGTAAAAAATGTATAAAAGCCAACTTCAAATTAATTATTTATTTAAAGCATTTTGGACATTTTTTATAAACACGCATATTAACAATGTTTTGTGTACTAAAAATTCACATAAAATGCTACTACCACACTATACAAAAACTTTAAAAAATTAGTTTTCTCTCAACATTACATCTCTGAGATCTGCGCATGTTGGCTGCAAATAGCTCAAGTCACTCGTACCTACAGTTGAGAATTCACTGTATGAATATAGCTAAATTTGAATATTCATTTCTCGTTAATAAACACATTCCATATATTGCCAATTTTTTTCTGTTTTACATAATACTGCAGGGATTACCTTTGTGCAAGTCTGCTTATACAACATGCTGTACAGTAAAGAGTTAACATAGCAGAACTGACTGCTACCCTTTAGAAGTCCTGCTTGCAAAGTTGGTTGATGGCTGGCATCTGGGAACTTGCATTTCGGGAGAATTCTCACCACCCTTCCTGATAAAAGTTTCATCGTGTCTAAAGAGTTTGTACAAACAATACAGTTTATATTGAACACCTGCTTTCCTTCTGGGAGACTGGTATCTTGGTACACGCTAGGCAGAGGGTGCCTACGTGACCATGCCCCAATAAAAGCCCTACGCACTGAGTCTCAAATAAACTTCCCTGGTAGCCACCATATCACACGTGTTGTGACAATGTGTGGCTGGGGAATTAAGCATGTTCTGTATGATTCCATCGGGAGAGGACATCTGAAGTTTGCACCGTTTTACCCCACGTAATTTTTCTCTTCATTGATTTTGTTCTGCATCCTTTTGCTATAATAAATCGTAGCCATGAGTACAAATATATATTGAGCTCTGCAAGTCCTCTTAGTGAATCATCAAACCTGGATATGGGCTCGGGGACCCCCAAAACACACATGCAAAAGTTTCTCTAGAATTAGAATCTAATTAGAATTATGGAATCTAAAACTGAATCCCTAGGCCATGGGATATGTACACCTTTACTATAGACTATTAGTTTACTCTTCAAGGTGGTTATACGAATTTATATTCCGTTCCAGCTGGGTGTGAAAAGTTCCTGTTCCTCATACCTAGCCAATACTTGGTAATGTCAGACTTTTACATTTCTGCCAACCAGATGTGTGTGAAATGTTATCTCATTGTTTTTTTTCCCCCAGGGATACTTCATAACACACTTCTTGGCTGAGTGTAATTGATTTGATAATAAAGTATAATTTCTACCTCAGGTATGTATTACTTTAGATGTGAGTCAAACCTCACAGGTATTTTTACAAGTGACACAGTATTATATAATAAACATTAATTAGAACTGGATGAAAAGATTAAAAGTGTAGAATATTTTCTATGAGAAAGAAAAATGATTATTCATTAAAAAATTTGTACTACAAAGTTTTTCCTAAATTACCTCACATATTTAGATAACAAACAAATAATTAGAAAAGTTCAATCCAAGTAAGCATATCATTAAAATTCTAATTTGAAATTGCTATTCTACCTGGAATCAGTTTGCCAAGATGTCACTGGGTATTTCTAAAACAAGTTTCAAGGGCTAATGCATATGGTAGGAGACAACACATTACTGTCATCAGCTTGGGCATTATTTAAAACGAACCTCGAGAAGTACAATATAGTTGAATTTGTAGTTAGCATCCAATGAAAGCAATAACTTATAAAATTAGTTCATCCTCATAAAAAAAATTTTTTCTTGCTGATACTTGCATAGTACTTCATTTTGGGAGGCTACTGATCACTGACCATAGCTTTTGTTATCTTTCCCTGTACCCTTGTCAGACTGCTTACGTTGCTATACAGTAACTAATAAGATACGAATAAACTCCCTTAAGCCCTTCAATCTGATATTATATAAAGCTAGTTTTTACTGTTTATGGACCTAAGCCATTGCATCTACTTGCAGTGAACTCACTATAAATTCATGGAAATTTGGAGAGATAAGGTGTTTTCATGGTTCAGTGGTGGGACTATAACCTTTTATTCAAGATTTTATTCAAGAAAATCTTCTTTAAAAAATGTCAAATCACCTTAATGAAACTTCCCCTTACTATTTTTATAACTTTATTTACCTCAAAATAAGGAGCAAGAGAGATACTTCTATTTCATAGTCCTTCTGCCATCTATCAAAGTATTAGAATCTATATAAGGGTTGGATCAAAAGACTTCTGCATATTCACTTTTTTGTATTTTAAATGTATTAGTGAGGATTTTTGAAGCACAACCCATTTACTTACCTAAACTCCCACTGGCCATTGCAGCCTGCAGTGCGGCGGTCAGACTTGGGACCATGTGGGCGTAGTACACTGTGTCTGCACACACGCAGGCTGTGGCGCCCACTGCTCCTGGCCAAATCCGAACAGGTCGGGGAAAGCCCACCAAGAACAAAGGAAGGGAGAAGAGGGGGAGTAAGGGAGAGGAGAGCAGTGTAGAGAAAACGATGAAGACCAGCACGAACGGAGAGAAGACAATGTTGAGTATACATAAAGTGGTGGTTGACTTTCGACGTTTTTTCTCAGTCAACGATGCCAAAAGTATGGTCACAGCAAACTGCAGCTTAGAGATGAACTGAATCAGACGATCACGCATGATACCAACCTGTAGAGATGTAAAAATGATTTTTTTTATTCTGAAAGACTGCATGAATTTTTTTTTTTTTTTAAGATTTATTTATTTGACAGAGAGAGACACAGTGAGAGAGGAAACGCAAGCAGGGGGAGTGGGAGAGGGAGAAGCAGGCTTCCCACGGAGCAGGAAGCCTGATGTGGGACTTGATCCCAGGACCCCGGGACCATGACCTGAGCTGAAGGCAGACACTTAACGACTGAGCCACCCAGGTGCCCCAAGACTTCATGAATTTTCAAGATCATATAAGGAAAACTGTATAATTTTATTATTGCTGCAATATTTTTGAGGAAATAGCCCTTATATGAGATTCTTTGTTATAGTTTTCTCCAACCTCACAAGTAATAAATGAGTCTACATTTTTAAAAGTTTGAGCTCTCTTAGAAAAAAAGTAATACCAAAGAGAACCAACAGAGTACTAGGATATCTTAAGGCTGACTAACTTTTGCATTATGTGCTTGTTAGGTCATGAGAACCAGAAGTGGTAAATAGTTAACTATCCTTAATTCATCCTTATTTTAGAAAGTATTTTATAGATTAAGAAACAGAGGTCATAAGACCTCTTAATCTTAATAGACTGAAATCATATAAGTATGTTCATACATATCATGCAAAGTATGTTCTTTAACCAAAACAGAATTAAATCAACAATAGAAATAAAAAATAATAAAGGAATCTTGAAATTAAAAGACACATTGCTGGGGTGCCTGGCTGGCTCAGTTGGTAGAGCATCTTGGGGTTGTAAGTTTGAGCTCCATGTTAGGTGTAGAGATTACTTAAAAATAAAATCTTACCAAAAAAGAAATTAAAAGACACACTGCTAAATAACCAATGGGTCAAAGAAGACATCACACAAAAAAATGAGAAAACATTTTGAGATGAATGAAACAAAAACACAACATACCAAAACTTGTGATTCAGCTAAAACTGTGCTCAGAGGGCAATTTATAGCTAGCTTTAAATGCCTATATAGAAAAAAGATCCTAAATCAATAACCTAATCTTCCACCTTAGGAAATCAGAGAAACTAGAAAACAAAGCACAAACTGAACCTCAAATACGCAGAAGGAAGGAAATAATAAAGATTAGGGCAGAAATTAATAAAATAGAGAATATAAAAACAATAGAGAAAATCAATGAAACCAAAAGCTAGTTTTTTTGAGATCAATAAAATGGAGAAACCTTTAGCTACAATGACCAAGAATAAAACAGAGAAGATTCAAATTACTAAAGTCAGGAATGAAAGAGATAACTTTATACCACCAATCTTAACAGAAAAAAATTAGAAGGGTTATAAGAGAATAATATGAACTGTATGCCGATAAATTTGATCACTTAGATGAAACCAACAAGTTCCTTGAAAAACATAAAGCAACTCAAGAATAGAAAAACTAAACAGACCTGTAAAAAGAAACTGAATTTGTAATTTAAAAGCTACTCACAGAGAAAAGCTGAGGCTCAGATGGCTTCCATATTACAAAATACTACATACCACAAAATATTTAATGTACATATGAAATATGATCAAACATTTAAGAATAATTAGTATGAAATTCCTCACTCATTTTATGAGGTCAGTGCTATTTTTATATCTAAACCAAAGACATGACAAGAAAAGAAAGCTACAGATACATATAAATATCAACCACACAAAAATACCAGCCAGTCAAATCTTGTAACATATAAGCAGGATTATACACCATGACCAAATGGGATTTAGTTCTAGAATGCAAGGTTGGTTTAACAACCTGAAATCAACGTATTATACCATGTTAACAGATTAAAGGACAAAAACCACATGACCATTTCAATAGACACAGAAAATACATCAGACAAAATCCAACACCCTTCATGATAAAAAGGCTAACCAGAAACAGAAGGGAACTTCCTCAACCTGATAAAGAACATCTACAATAGGGACACCCGGGTGGCTCAGTCAGTTAAGCCTCTGCCTTTGGCTCAGGTCATGATCCCAGGGTCCTGGGATCGAGTCCCACATTGGGCTCCCTGCTCAGGGGGGAACATGCTTCTCCCTCTGCCTGCTGCTCCCCCAGCTTGTGCTCTCTCTCTGACAAATACATAAATAAAAAAATCTTCTTAAAAAAAAAAAAAGAACATCTTGGCTCTTTGAATGGATAAAGAAGATGTGGTATACATATACAATGGAATATTATGCAGCCATCAAAAGGAATGAAATCTTGCCATTTGCAACGATGTGGATGGAACTGGAGAGTGTTATGCTGAGTGAAATAAGTCAATCAGAGAAAGACTTGTATCATATGACCTAAATGATATGAGGAATTCTTAATCTCAGGAAACAAACTGAGGGTTGCTGGAGTGGTGGGGGGGGGGGGGGATGGGGTGGCTGGGTGATAGACATTGGGGAGGGTATGTGCTATGATGAGCACTGTGAATTGTGCAAGACTGTTGAATCACAGATCTGTACCTCTGAAACAAATAATATATGTTAAAAAAAAAAAAGAAGAAGAAGATAGGAGGGGAAGAATGAAGGGGGGGTAAATCGGAGGGGGAGATGAACCATGAGAGACAATGGACTCTGAAAAACAAACTGAGGGTTCTAGAGGGGAGGGGGTGGGGGGATGGGTTAGCCTGGTGATGGGTATTAGGGAGGGCATGTTCTGCATGGAGCACTGGTGTTATATGCAAACAATGAATCATGGAACACTACCTCAAAAACTAATGATGTAATGTATGGTGATTAACATAACATAATAATAAAAAAATAAAGAGAGACAGCCTCATTAAAAAAGAAAAAAACATCTACAATAGCTGATAACATATCTAACGGTAAAAGACTGACATCAACTTAAGGGAGAAAGACTGACTGCTTTCCTTTAAGATGTCCACTCTTCTATTCAGCATTATACTGGAGGTTCAGGCCAGGGCAAATAGGTAAGAAAAAGAGAGGAAAGACATCTAGATTGAAAAGGAAGAAATAAAAATATCTCTACTATCTCTAATTTGCAGATGATGTGATCTTATACACAGAATGTCTTAAAAAAAATCTACTAACAATCACCAGAACTAATAGAAGTGAGGTTTTAGGACACAAGATTAATATTTTAAAAAATTAATTGTATTCTATACTCTAGCAATCAACAAGCCAAAAAGTGAATTAAGAAAACAATTCCATTTATAATATCAAAAAGGATAATATACTTAGGAAAAATTTAATAAAAGCGTAAGACTTGTAACACTGAAAACTACAAAACATTATTGAAATAAAGATCTTAAAAAAATATAAAGACATGTCATATTGATGGATAGGAAGAAATAATGTTTTTAAGATGGCAATACTCCCCAAACTGATCTACACATTTGAGGTAATCTCTATCAAAGTTTCAGATGCCTTCTTGCAAAAACTTAAAAGCTGAAACTAATATTTACATTGTAATATAGGGGCACTGAAAGAGTGAAAACAATCTTAAAAAAGACGAACAAAGTTGGAAGACTCATACTTCCCGATTTCAAAACCTACTACAGAGTATAGTAGTAAAGATAGGATAGTACTGGCAAAAGGACAGACATATAGATAAATGGAAAAGAACTGAGAGTCCAGAAATAAACTCTCACATCTGTCATTTGATTTTTGAGCAGGGTGCCAAGAAAAGTCATCGAGGGAAGGGTAGTTCTTTCAATAAATGGTGTTGGGACCACTGTATATCCATATATAAAAGAACGGATTTGGAACCCTACCTCATATCATATACAAAAATAAACTCAAAATAGATCATAGACCCAAATGTAGGAGTTACAGTTTTAACTGTAAAACTCTTAGAAGAAAACACAGTAAATCTTTATGATTTTGGAATAGACAGTGTTTATTAGATAAGACCCCAACAATTCAAGCAGTGAAAGAAAAAAGAGATAAATTGAACTTCAGCAAAATTAAAAACTGTTTTTGCTTCAAAGGATATTATCAAGAAGGAGAAAGCCTACAGAATGGGAGAAAATTTTTGTTTATCATATATGTGTCAAGGAACTTGTATCCAGAATATATAAAGAACTCTTAAACTCAACAATAAAAGGGCAAGCCACATAAAATGGACAAAGGATCTGAATAGACATTTCTCCAACAAACATACACAAATGGCCAATAAATTTATGAAAAGATGCATAATTAGCATTTAAGGAATGCAAATCAAAATTACAATGAGATAGCAGTTCACACCGACCAGAATGAGTATAATGAAAAAGTTAGATAATAACAAGTATTGGTATGGATGTAGAGAAATCCTCATTGTTGGTGGGAATGTAAAATGGTACAACCACTTTGGAAAAATGTTTGGCAGTACCTTGAGGTGTTAACATAGACTTACTATGAACTGAAATTCCAGTCCTAGGTAGATATAGTTAAGAGAAATGAAAACATATGTCCAAAAAGCAAATGTCCAAAAACATGTACACAAATGTTCATAGCAGCATTATTCATAATAGTCAAAGAGTAAAAACAACCTAAAAACCCATCATCTGATAAATAAATCAACCAGAGAAACCAAAAATATATTAATGGTTGCTGGGGCTGGAGTGGGGGGTGGGTGGGATGGAGAGTGGAAACAGGGAAGGACATTGAAGTGCATAAGGTTTCTTTGGGGGATGTTGAAAATGGTCTAAAATTAAACTGTGGTGATGGCAGTAAAATTCTGTCTACTACTGAACTGTGTAAGTGGATGATTTTATGGTATGTGAAATACATCTCAAGAAAGCTAATAAAACATATGCTTACCAGTAAGAGTCTGATTCCTGTATCCAGGCTTCTGTTCCACCACACATCTTTACTAGAGATCAACAAGTGTACTACTGATACAATGACTGTCTCCAATAAAGCATTTTCTGTATTCTGCCACACCTGCAGTACACAAATTATCAGGTAGAATTTGACAAATTTAAGTAAACTCTTAGGATAAGCAAAACTGCAATTAAACTTAGCAATACAAAAATACTATTAGGTGCTTATTAGGATTACCATTCTAAAAGCTCTCGTGAATCCAATGGAAACAGACACAGAGTGGAGCCCCTGTAAGGAACTGTCCAATGAAAGAAATGCGATCATAGCAAAGGGTGACACTAGGACAAACACAAAAAATAGACAAATTTAATTAAGATTTTTATGAGCACATTTAAGCAGTTAACTGAAAAAACTAATAAACAAACCAAAACATAAAAGAGTAAATTTCTGTATGCTGTACACTGCAAAAACATGGGAATTCAATAGTTTTACATACTTCCTAGATAAAACACAAAGTTAGCAGATTTTATGTTCTTACCTAGATTTAGCAAAATCCATCTGACAACACCAATCTTCACAAGCCTTGTTTGCTTCTCTAAGAATAAAGTCACAGTTTGCACATCCTTTGGATAGAAAGGGTTTCGGAAAATTCCAAAGATACAGACACTTTGAATTTCTCTAAGTATCCACAGTATTATAAGCAGTATCATCAAAACATAGCCAACAATAGCCTGAGGACTGTTTTTGGAAATCTGTGAGAAACCAGCAAAATGATGCAGCAAACTAGTTTCTATGAGAGCCAAGACTAATATGATGATGTAGAAAAGGCATTCCTTCCAAGTAAACTGTTTTTCTGAATCACTGGGTAAAGGCTTAGATTTGGTTCCAACTCTGTGTCTAGTCACACTGTGTTTGAAGGCAAGACCCATGTCACTTAGGTTAAGACTCAGTAAGAACCCAAGTCCCGTCATGAAAAGAACCACACCAACAGTGCTGGGAATGAAATATGATGTTACAGCTGTTCCAGCAGAAATGATGAACATTAGTAATAACCTGCAGAGAAAAAGAAAGATTTGCTCAAAAAGGAAAATTGCACTTGAATAAGTTATGCAGAATTTTAATATTTAAAATAATTACCGTAGGCGCGTTGACATAGATGAGCCTCCAAGGCCAAACTCTAAAACTTGCTCCATTGCCCATAAGAAAAGTGCATCAGGTGGGGGCAGAGTCCCGAGTGCCCACAGAAAGGGTAGAAATATAAACAAGATGTGTAAAATCTGATTCACTTGTTCTAGAGCTGGTATATTTACCATAAACCTATAAGAAAAAGGAAACATTTAAATCATACCAAATAATATTCAGAAGAGTATCTTCCCAGGAAAAACAAAACAACACATGCAACCCACTCCCTGAAACAAAGGAACATTTACAAAAAGATCCTAGGCCCAAACTGCGAAAGATCAACATTTATAAATTGTGACCATTGTCCTTCCCCCTTATCAGCAACTACCCCTACTCAAATGAGATTAGCACTTAGAGAATATGTGGATTCAAATGTGGAAAGAAGGAAGAAGTACTTAAAAGCAATTCACTGAATAAAATTGAATTTAGGGATTTGTAAAACTGAACTGAGCCCAGAGTAAAAATATTTCACCCTAATTGTCTAAACTACATTGGCTGAAATTCTACCAATGATTCTTGAAAGTTTAAAATTTTCTAATTTAAAATTATAAGTGACTCTGGGAAAGCCAAAGCCTTCTTGATGTTCTTACTATTAGTAGCTAGCAAAGAGACCTCTTCTTGTTCTCCTACTATATCCTCCCCCTCGCCCATACTGTCTTAACCCCAGGTCCCAGAATTTGAAGTCAGTATAATTCATATCAGAAATAAGCAACATTAGGTTATGAATGTGTCTCTGTGGGTTAGCCTGGGAACTTAACTAGCCATTTATAATATTGTTTTTATTTTATATAAATAATGGTATGGATTTGAGAATACAAACCTGTAAAATACAATCTCGTAAATTAGAGATGGCTTCTATAAAGTGGAAAAGTTGGTTCTTGGTATAGCACTTACCAGTTAAATATAATATTAGATGGTTTTAAATAATTTAATAAAAACATAAAGCATAGAAGAATAAGCACTATCAATATATTACTAATTTTTTTGGAATAAAGCTGACCACACACTTTGTCTGGAAACCAGTAATGTCCTAATACTTACAATGTTCCAAAGATAACTTGCAAAAGAGAAAACTAAATCTCAAAACTTGTAACATAATTATACTTGAATACCTGAGCTGTTAGGAATCAAAGTCAAGGAGAAGGCACCTCCTGTAATAATTATCCACTTAAGTGTATGTTAACAGCCCAGAAGCAAATGTAGAGCAACTATGGATATAATAATGACATAATATGTCTGCTCGTATAGATATCAGGACCATGTCAGCTAATGCGCTGTCTCATAATGTATGTCCTTCAAATTTTTATAAGCAGAGAATTAATGAATACAAGGTTAACATGGTGATGCTAAGTTAGAAGACAATTATTTTTTGTAATGTAGTTTTAAAATACATTTCATTCTGGGAAGAAAATACTCAAGTATCAAAAAGGAAAATCAAACGACACACAGTAAACTGCAGGAAGGTCAAGGAAAACATGGAGATTTTAGTTATTTTTGTTAAAGACTGTTAACATTTCTCTTTCTAATATATTCAAGGATAGTATAATTTGTGTAAAAATAATGTATACTCAAGAAATATTTTACCCAAATTCGATTAAACCTCCTCAAATCTTTTTATTAAGTAAAGACATAGAAAATCTACTTATATACAAGAATATCACACACAAATACAAGCCTATGTAATTTAAGCAACAAACATTTTGATCACTTTCTTGTATGACTCAAACTCAAATAATATGATTATTGTGGTTAAGTCTTTTATATGGAAAATACGTTTGAATTCTATTTCTGATAATGTAACATGAATTTTCTAGGGCAAAGTATCTAAGCTCTCAAGAAAAAAACTTTGAGTCTAACAACCATAAAAACATTCCAAATTCTGTATACTCACTAAGATCCACATGCCCAGAAAAAAAGATGTTTATTGTGGCTAAGATGACATAAATATGCACCATTCATTGAAACAATTCCTGAGAGTCTATGAAGTAATAAGCACTTATAGGTTTAACACCTGTCTTTAATAAAAATGCACAGAAAAGTCATTTAAAATTCTTAACACAAGTGTACTGGGTAAAATAAAGAATGGGGAAAGAGAAATTATACTGTGAGGCTTGTCACTTCAACTTTTACATTCTCTGAAATAAAATTAAGACACAATTTGATATATTTGACAACTGTCCAAACTTAAACAGGGCATACATTTCACATATTATTTGCAGTATCATACCTACTATATAAAGATCATCTTGATTCTTATTTTGTTGACCAAATTTTTTTTAATTTAAATTCAACTGGCCAACATATAGTACATCATAAGTCAAGTGGGAGGTAATTGTTCTGCACAAACATGTCATCTTTTTCTATAAAAATAGATTTGGGCTTGCTTTTGTCTTCTCCTTTTAGTTGAAAAAAAAAAACCTCTTTGTAATGATCAAACTGTAAACATTAAAACTGTATATTAAATTCAAGTAGAATCAGTAAAAAAACATTAATGTTCTTTCATTTAGAAATGAGTAATGCAGAAAGTCAAGGTAACCAAATTATAAATTAACAGATGTTTTTAAAATTAAAGAACCTAGGGCATCATTTTAAATGCAAAGGTGTATTACAGCAGGTATATAATTTCTGACTTCAAAAATAGCACAGTGAGACAGTAACTCAAGAATCTAAATTCTGAAAATAATCTTACAAACTTAAATCTTTTAGAAGGGGATGAATGTGTGTGTATATATATAATTGAAAATCAAATTTACTTCTAACTTTTCAAAATCAAGTATTTAACTGTAGTATATTTTACGACTAGTAAATGGTAGCGGTACTAACAAACCCATTATAAATGAATTTCCTATAAACTAATTCTCCCCTTACAGATTTGATTAGGTGAAGAACAACAAGGATATTATAGTGTCCTCTGGTCCATAAATGTAGCACAACTAGAAAAGATTAAGATTTAAGGAATAGCAAATGGCCCCTTAAGAATAGGTCAGTTTCAGGGGCGCCTGGGTGGCTCAGTCGTTAAGTGTCCGCCTTTGGCTTGGGTCATGATCCCAGGGTCCCGGGATCGAGCCCCACATCGGGACTCCCTGCTCAGCGGGAAGCCTGCTTCTCCCTCTCCCACTCCCCCTGATTGTGTTCCCTCTCTTGCTGTGTCTCTGTCAAATAAATAAATAAAATCTTAAAAAGAAAAATAGGTCAGTTTCAGTACAAAAACTGGCCAAGTATTTTTAAATGTCTTATTTTAGGCTGCCATAACAAAAAGCGAAGACCAGGTGGCTTAAACAATAGAAATTTATTTCTCATAGTTCTAGAGGTAGGAAGATCAAAGTGCCACCATGGTTGGGTCTGGTGAGAACACTCTTCAAGGCTTGCAGACAGCCAACTTCTCACTGCATCCTCACATGGTGGAGAAAGAGAGAGATCAAACTCTCTGGTCTCTCTTCTTATAAGGGCACCAATCCCATTAGAATAGGATCACCCTGATGACCCACCTACCTCTCAAAGAACCCCATCTCCAAATACCATCACATTGGGGATTAGGGCTTCAACATATGATTTTGAGGGGGCACGTACATTTATTCCTTAACATTCTACCCCAGTCTCCCAAATTCATGTTCTTCTTACATGCAAAATACATGCATCCCATCCCAACAGTCTTAACAAATTCCAGCATCAACTTTAAAGTCCAGTTTATCTAACTACCATCTAAATCAGATATAGGTGACACTCGAGGTACACCGAATCCTGAGGCAAAATCCCTCTCCAGCTGTGAACCTGTGAAATCAGATAATTTATGTGCTTCCAAAATAAAATGGTCGGGCAGCCCCAGAATGGACATTCTTATTCCAGAAGGGAGAAACAGGAAAGAAGGAAGGGGTGACATGCTACAGAGAAGTCCAAAATGTAGCAAGGCAAATTCCATTAGATCCCAAGGCTGGGAAAGAATCCTCTTTGGTTTCATACTCTGCCCTCCAGGCCTCCAGGGTAATAATAATCACCCAAAGAGCTCTAGGTGGGGGTCCCACCCCCAAGGCTCTGTAGGGCAGTACCAGTCCCAAGTCTTCCAGATTTTAATTTGTTGAAACCAAGGAAGTAGCCCTGACAATCTCTGAATCACTTTTGGGGTCATTTTTCCTGTCAAATCTAAAGTCTAACAGCCTTAGTTCATTTCATCTTGTCTCTGACCCTTTTCGTTGAAATTGGCAGTATTTTTCATCATACAACCCCATAAACTATTTAGTGGTAGTCCAGTCACACTCTTGGTGCTCACTTCAGAACATGCCTTCTCATTTTTTTTCAATATGGATAGGTCAAAAGTGTTCGAAACCTTCAAGTTCTGGTTCATTTTTGCTTATCAATTCCTTCTTCAATTCATCTCTCCTTTCGTATAAGCAGTCAGGAGGAATCAAGCTGTTCTTTGAACTACTTGCTTAGAAATCTCCTCACCTCTATATCCAATTACATCACTCTCAAGTTTTACTTTCCACAAACCATTAGAAAGTGGTTCAGCCAAGTTTTGTGCCACTTGATAACAAGAATCACCTTTCCTCCAGTTTTCAATAACAGGTTCTCATTTCTAAGACCTCACCAGAAATGCCTTTAAGTTCATATTTCTAGCATGCACCTCAAAACTCTTCCAGCCTTTATCCATTACCCAATTTCAAAGCCACTTCCACATTTTTAGGTATCTGTTATAGGAGCAACCCACCTCTTGGTATCAAAATCTATCTTAATCAGCTTGGGCTGCCATAATAAAATACCAGACTGGGTGGCTGATACAACAGAAATTATTCTGGATCTGGAAGTCCAAGATCAGCGAGCCAGCATGGTCAGGTTCTGCTGAGAACTCTCTTCCTGGTTTGCAGACAGCAGCCTTCTTACTGTATCCTCATATTGTGGAGAAAGAGAGAGATCAAGCTCTCTTCTTGAAAGAGCACTAATCCCATCAGATCAGGGTCCCACCCTCATTTTCCTAATTACCTCCCAAAGATCCCATCTCCAAACACCAGCACACTGGGGTATGGGCTTTAACATATGAATTTGAGGGGGGACATGAATATTCAGTTCATTACATGCCTATACATTTCTACCTGGACACGAACCTGTGAAAGAGAAAGCTGTAATCTACAGAAACAGAGAAATAAAAGTCAGATTTAGAAAAGGTAAGCAAAGGGGGTTATCCAACAATTTTGTAAACAGTTTGGTAAACAATTTTGTTTAAAAACTCTATTTTCTAATTTTCTACTATAGCAAATCAAAAAAATTAATATTCCTTCTATATAGTTACTACAAAATTAGAAATGTTATTCATCTTAAATTCACTCAATCTGTACATAATATTTATGTGTATAAATTTCAAATTCTTCATTAGACCCTCATAGGAAAGTTCCATCTCTTTTCATAGGTCTCAGCCAGGCTAGCTTATAGATTCATAGCTTGTTATTGAAAGTGAAACACAGAATTGAAGTTTTGCTTATTTATCTTACCTTATAAAGGGTTTTCTTTTTACTCTTCAATAAGGTTTAATTACTGCTTTAGTATGAATGTTTAATAGAGATTACTCCTAAGAGATTAATCATCAGAACAACCTATCATCCAATGCTTTGTTCTTGATAACTTTCAATTCATAGATTCATTTTTTTAATACTAAGGAGAGCTCATACTATGAATGCTTAAAAATAAAGCAAGTTATAAACTATCAGATAGCTTATTACCTGTGTGCAAGATCTACAGAAACAAAGGAAAAAATATAAAGAGGTCTCATAAGAGGAGTGATTTCGTAAGTATCCTGGGGTTGGAAAGTCGCAGTCTCTGCGGCTGTGTTTACAATTAATGAATATTCTCCGATACATAATGTCATCCATCCAAAGGCGAACAGTGGAACAGTGCCTCCTGTACTGCCATACAGCAGGGATATTCTCTTTGGGAGCAGATACCAGGTTCCAAGACCACACATTAACCCAGCAAGAAAAGAATGAAGAACTGTATTGGCTATATATTTCTTGCCAGGAATTAGAAATTTGATAGTCTCAGTACCAGCACAACTTGTAAAGTCATGTTCATCTTCCTCTGTTAAGATATCTGTGGTTAGCATTCTTTCTACTGTCACCGATTTGTTTCTGGCATATAAACTTGTGAACTGGATGATAAATGCAGCGAAAAGCATTAGTCCACCTGAAAGTGCTGCTGTGTAATAGTCTTCCAAAATGCCCAACTGGTACAAGAGTGTTCCTAGTCCACCCCAAACCCATGGCATCAGAAAAAGGATAATTTGATTAACATATATGTAAGGAGGGGCGCAATAGCCTAATTTGAAACGAGGGCCTCCAAGAACAGTCTGCGGAAAGCGCTTCAGAAAGAAGTCCTGTTTGTAATCATTCAGCAGAGGCACATCTGGACTCATCCTTCTCATTCAGGATTATTCTGAAAGTCACATCCTCTTCTGTAACACAGCAGTCTCTAAGAAAAAGAAAAAAGTCATTACTTGACAATAGCATACTTAAAAGATGGCGGGGGGGGCACATTTCTATTTTTCTCTCCTTAATTCCTTCAAGGGCAGGGTTTAGAACTTCACGTCTCTAGCTCCTCCCCATTGCCTGATGCACACATGGCACTAAACAAATAGTTGTGAAGTTGTTTTTTACTTGAAAAAGAATCATATTAATTATTAATTTATCTAGAACTTAATATTTAGGATTAGATCTTAAATTAACTAACATTTTTAGATTTTAAAGTCAAAGAAAAGTTCAAAAAGCCAGTGCTCTCAACTCAAATCTGCCAGTGGTTTAACTAATTGTTTCCTAAGAGTTTTTGATGTTTGTTTTTAAACTTTTCCTCTATTATAAGGGTCAGCAAAATTTTTCTATAGGGGCTAAAGAATAAATATTTTAGACTTTGTGGACCATATGATCTCAGCTACAATGATTCAATTCTGCTGTCATAGCAGAAAAGCAGCCATAGATAATACATAAATAAATGAATAGTAGGAGTAATTGTGTTCCAGTAAAGCTTTATGGTATTTTTACCTGTACCTGTGGGCCAGATTCAGCCTGTGGGCCATAGCTGGCCAAACCCTGCTCTATAAAATGAGGACATTTTCTTTAATTCCCTTGACTTGGAATGAAAATAGGAGTGGAAAAAGAAATAGAAAACTTAATCACATCATTTAGCAATTACAGTAAACTTAGGATTTTCTGAGAATTTAAAAGTCAAATCCTGCTAAAATAGTAACATTTCAATAAAAAGCCACTGGCAGCTCAATATATAGTAGAAAGAACAATAAACTGGAAATCAAAAGACTCCAGGTGTCTGACTAAATGCTTATTATTAGCTATGTTACCACAAGCAAACCACTTTCTGATTCAATTTTTACTTTCCCTGTTATCAGTTTCCAAAATCTACCCAAACCAGGAAAACATGAAACAATAATAGGACCTGTATGTGCTATAGTCTAGATTATTTCCATTTAAGGGCCACAAAAATCTAAGTATTGGGGGGCCAGGCTGGCTCAGTCAGTAGAGCATGTGACTCTTGATCTCAGAGTCATGAGTTCGAGCCCCACTTTGGGTGTAGAGAGTACTTTAAAAAAATAAAATATTTTTTAAAAATCTAAGCATCAAGGGGCACCTGGGTGGCTCAGTCGTTAAGCGTCTGCCTTCGGCTCGGGTCATGATCCCAGGGTCCTGGGATTGAGTCCCACATCAGGCTCCCTGCTCTGCGGGAAGCCTGCTTTTTCCCTCTCCCACTCCCCCTGCTTGTGTTCCCTCTCTCGCTGTGTCTCTCTGTCAAATAAATAAATAAAATCTTTTAAAAAAAAATCTAAATATCAGATAACATAGATTCTCTTCTCTTCAACTTTTCCTTTTCCTGGGATATACTCAGTAGTTTATTCTGAAAACGCATTTGCCTGACACAAGATAGCTAACAAAGTATTACTCAGGGATCATATATTGGGCTGGAAAAGAAAAATTAAGTTTAAAGCTATCTTCATAAAGCAAGACACAAAGGCCAATGAAATAGAGAACCCAGAAATAAATCCTCACATGTATGGTAAAATATTTGACAGGGGTACCAAGACCATTCAATGGGGAAAGGATGGTCTTTGCAATAAATGGTGCCAGGAAAACTGAGTATCCATATGCAAAAGAATGAAATTAGACCCTTAACATCAAACACAAAAATTAACTCAAAATGTCTAAGGTAAGATCTAAAACAATAAAGCTCTTAGAAGAAAACATAGGACAAAAGCTTCTAATACTGGATTTGGCAGTGACTTCTTGGATATGACACCAAAGGTACAGGTTACAAAAGGAAAACAAATTAGACTTCATGAAAATTTAAAAATTGTGTGCATCAAAGACACTATCAACAGAGTGAAAAGGCAACTCACAGAATGGGAGAAAATATCTGCATATCGTATATCTATCTGATAAGGGATTGCTATCCATAATATACAGAGAACTCCTAAGACTTAACAACAAAACAAACAAAACAATTCAAAAATTGGCAAAGGACTCGAATAGACATTTCTCCAAAGAAGATATACAAATGGCAATAAACACATGAAAAGATGCTCAACACCACTGATCATTAGAGAAATGCAAATCAAAACTGTAACAAAATACCACTTCACACCTATGTGGATGACTACTAACAGAAAAACAGAAAACAACAAGTATTGGTGAAGATGTGGAAAACTGGAACCCTTGTGTACTGTTGGTGGAAATATCAAATGGTATAACTGTTGTGGAAAACAGTATGGTGGTTCCTCAAAAAAGTAAAAATCAGATTACTGTATGATCTAGGTTTTTTTATTTCTGGCTATATACACCAAAGAACTGAAAGCAGGGTAGCAAAGATATTTGTAATTCATGTTCACAGCAACATTATTCACAATAACTAAAACATGGAAGCAACCCAAATGTCCACCAAAGGATGTATGGATAAGCAAAATGTGGTATATACATACAATGGATATTTTTTCAACCTTAAAAAGGAAGGAAATCCTGCAATATGCTATAACATGGATGAACCTTAAGGAACTTATGCTAAGCAAAATAACTTAGTCACAATAAGACAAATACGCATAATTTCACTAAGACAAGGTACTTAGAGTTGTCAAAATCATAGAAAGTTGAATGGTGGTTGCCATGGGCTGAGGAAAGAGAATGGGAGTTACTGTTTAATGGGCATAATGTTTCATAAGATGAAAAGAGTCACAGGGATCAATGATGGTGATGACTGCACAACAATGTGAATGTATTTAATACCACTGAACTATACGCTTAAAAATGGTTAAGACAGTAAACATTATATGTATTTTACCATACACGCATAAATTTAAAGCCATCTTAAGTCTTTTTCTTTTTTTCCCTCCCTTCCTCCCTCCCTCCCTTCCTTCCTGTTCTTTCTTCAGTTTAAAACAGTCTTCCTACAAGTCAGTTCTACCCAACCAATATCAGTCCTAGAGAGAGCTTCCAGGCATCACGAAAGGTTTGGGGGTCACCATTAAGAATTACTACCTTAGAGCATCTCTTGTTATACTGTTAGGGTAAACACCATTTTTTATTTTCCGGCCATTGGTCTTAGTTCTACACAGAACAAGTCATAGGTTTTACTTAACATGACAGCCCTGCAAGTACTGTGTATTTTACATAGAACATTTTGATACCTCTTCAAATTACCAAATAATCTCTAGAATTCTCAGCCCCATGCCCTACAAACACATCCTGCCCTTTTCCTTATGGGTGCTTCTGCTCATGCCCTCTCCTTTGCCTAGGGTGTCCTTTCTTCCCTTTCCTAATTGGTATTCTTGGTCAACTTTCAAGATTGAGTCTAATTCTTTCTGAAAATTCCCAGAACGCTCTCTTCTCTCTGCATATCAAACATTGCTTGTTCAAACTACTCATCTTGTAACATTAATCAACATAGGGCATTTCTTGTATTGTTCACCTCTTCATGTGTTATTTTTTTTCATATGTATGTCTTTTCTCTACCAATAAGTTATTTGTGGGCAGGGGCTAAATCTTGAGACACTTCCAATTCTCCATAATATTTAGTAAAATACCTTGGTATAGAGAATATAATACATTAATGGTAGAGCTTAAATAAGATGATTAAAATTAAAAGAAAACATTAAACGCTGCTGTTTAAAAGGGAAGTTGGGAGTATTTACTGTTTTTGAAATCCTCTTCCTGCATATCCTGCCCCACTCAAAACAGTAAACTCATAAACTCTTTATTCCTAATTTTTAAATGTTTAGAAAATATCTTAAATTATTTTAAATATGGAATAAATAACAGCATTTATTGATAGTATTACTGGCTCAGAGAAGACTTTTGCCTAGAGCAGTATGTCCCAAAGCAAAATAGGAACAGGATGGGCCTGAGGGAGAAACATGGCTGGGTTTCTGTAACAGAAAAGGAGATGGTTAGAGAATTTTAACAAGTCAGAAATCCAATTTTAATTTGCTCCCTGTATTATGCTACATTTTAACTTCCTTCACTATCAGGAAAGAGAAGCTAGTTCATACTAGGAGAGAAAAGCAGAGATAAAATAGCAAGTACAAGAGTCAAAATGAGGCAAGAGTAATCGATAAAAAAGTGAAAGCACATCGAGAAGTATGAAGAGAATGTTCATACTTGAATTCCCTCAAGATACCTTAGAAGCATGTGGGAGGACACTTAGATGGTGATTTGAATTATTTTAATGTGATTTTAAAAGGCTGAAGGATACAGAATTATTTGCCTTCTATAATGTTTCTTAAAAGGGGGTCCATGGTCAAAGAAGTTTGAGAAATAACACACTAGACTGTCATCTTGAAGAGTCACAGTGGCTATCAGCAAACTGAAGACTTTGAGACATCTTTGAAGTTAAAAAAACACTACTGTAAACCTGCTTAAAATGTATCATCTGAATTTTCCAAACTTACTTGAACAGGGAGCCCATCTTTCCCACAATATCTAGTAACAGTTCATGTATATAGTGTTCTTTTTAAACTACTTTGAGAAATATTGGCCTGAGCTTCAATTACAATTTTAAAAATTTAGCTAAGCCAAGGAGAATTAAAAAGATACACCAATCAAGTAGGAATGTCATAAACAAAGGTACACAAGGAAAAAAGATTATGAGGGCAATCTGACAAGTAGCAAGAATATCAGATTCCTGAAAAGGTTATTTCTAGTATGGTATTTTCTAATATTTTAAGGATAAAAGAGGATTATAGCACAGATACTAGAAATTCATTAAAGCAAAAATTATGATAAACTGGTACTGTGTGATTTTTAATTTAATTACAGATCCTGGAATATTTAAAAAATATTTTCTTTATAGGAAGCAGCACTTAACATTTAACTTAACATTGGTCCTTGACAGTTGTGAAGAGAGGCAGCAGATGGGGGGGGAAGAGTTATTCATGTTCAGGGGGCCAGAAGTTGACCAAGTTGGGGCAAACGCGGTTTAGTTGGAGGTAAGGAAAGAGTACAGTACTATCTAAGGGATGCAATTTGTATACTTTATTGGGGTAACAAGGACATCACTAAATCAAGACTCAATGGACCGTTTTCCATTTCGCAAGCGTCTCTTAGAAACAAAATGCTGTAATTCAACAAGCTAAATCAGTCTTTTGAAAGTTACAGTCACATTGGATTGATTCCTCTAGCCAGAGTTCACCTTCCGTCTGAAGTGCAATAATCGCACTTGAAGGTTTTATAACGAAGAACGAGAAATCTGTGGCAATTAAAACTGCCAGAACAACGTGGCTCTGCATAGGCTTTGAAATTTAGGTGACCAAGACGTCCCCAGGTGGGTGTCAGGGAAGGAACGTACCTCGAGTCACCCGAGGGAAGAGGCGATGCGAAGGAATCCCGGGAACTGCATTTTTGCAGGTAAACCCGGGTTGGGCGATCCCACCCGAAGGCTGCCTGCGACCCGAACGCAGAGGCAGAGAAGCGCTAGTGGCCAGGTTACCAGCTCACCGCGATCGCGCCTGAGCCTTCTCCGCGTTTCCATGGCTAACGTCAACTCTAGCTGGCGCCTCCGCCGCGGAACCGAAATCGCGCTCAGGGGTGGTTCGGGCGCTCGGCTCGCCCCGCCCCTCAGCTTGTGCTCGCCCTGGGGCGCTTCCCTACCCGCCCGCTAGGAGAGGCGGAGGTGGGGAAGAGGCGCGCTTCGTTCACTCCAGGCATGGGCCCACGCTCCCCTGATTAGGGTTCTTGGGAGTCTCTCCCGCTATGGCCTCGCCTTGGGCCTCCACCGAGGCGAGAAGGGAGGATCTCAGCAAGCTCTGAACTTTCACCCAGGGCCGCGCCCCTACGCAAGAGCGCCGTTTCCCTGGTGACGTGACGTGGCCGAGGGAGTGGGTAGTGCTTTCTGGCCGATTGACGTGCGGCCGCCATTTCGCGAGCTTTGGCTTGCGGGTGGTCTGACTGAAGTCTTAGGAGTGTAGTGTGGCTCCAACCGCTCGCGGTCTCGCTAGTTCCGTTAACTATATCCGCACTTTGGCCATCGCCACCCAGCACACCCACGGTAATAAGTGCTTTTAAGTAATACTTACAATCTTCGGCTTGGAAGATTTGGAACTGAATATACGTGCTAGGTATTGCCCTTTATTGCATATTTTTTCTCCCTTAGGAGATTTTTAAATGCAAGGAACCACAATGTCCATCATTGAATCATGGTACTAAGAAGGTATTTGTTTATTAATAAAATAAGGCAAAGTCCACGTATCCTAATTGGGAGGAAAAAAAGAAAAAGCCGTGGCGGACTGTTAATACTTAAAGGCAATTTAAAGTCGGGGAATCTCTTATGGGATGGCCACAGAGTCCCAGTTTTGCTAGTTTAAAGTTAGACGCCCACCGCCTCCATTTTCCATGAAGTTTGATTTCCTCATGTTCTGGACATCTTTCAGATTGCTAGTTGGAAGTCCACAAGGCGGCCCCTTAAGAGCGTTAAATTGGTAATTGGTCTCAAATGATTTAGAGGCTATTTAAAGGGAACTACGAAGCCAATTTGTCAGTATTAAGGTACTTGTGTTTCCCTAAGTGATTGACACTCTAGCAATTCTGCATACTTGGGACTCCTGAGTGCTCAAGGACTGTCTTGTTTGGCTCTCCTTACCTCAAGACTATAAATGCGGCCTTTTTTGTTTGTTTTCTGGCTTTACTGGAAATGATGGCTTAGTTCTTAAGCATCTAGGTTTTCAGGCCATAATAGGAAAACTTTCTGTGTGTTAATATTAAAAGAAAGCCAAAGCTTAGATAGATAAATACTACTCCATTCAGAGGGAAAATGTGGTTTATTGTTAAGTATGTGGAAGAAAACCTTGTGCAGTTTCAATGACGTACCTATACTTCGAAGACACAATTAGTGGGTAAAACCTTTCATAGTTCGGTCTGATGGGGAAATGGACTCTTACTGTTTCCCATACTTTGGGGGAAGACATAACCTTAGTCGTCATGGGTCAGGGTACCACGTTAAGCATCTTTGAGGCATCTGCAATTGCTAGGAAGTCAGTGTAGCGTGGTTAAGAGTAGAGGCTCTGGAGTCAGGAAGTCCTAAGTTGTTGGAACCCTGACATCACAGCTCACTACCTGTGTGATATAGGGGTTACCTAATCTTCCTGGTGCTCAGTTTCCAAATCTTATAAAATAGGGTTAATAATGGAGACAAAATTTATCCCGCATGGAGTTGGGTAGGTTGGATTAAATAACTGTAGATCGCTTAGTTAGGCACAGCTTAAGTGCTTAGAATGAGCTATTCTCTTCATGTAGAGAGGCTGTATTTTTGTCACCCTAAATTATGTATAATTCAATCAGAATTAATATTTTTGTTGTTGTAATACCTGCCGTAGATATTTGGTTGTTAAATTTTTCTTTTTTTCCAGTATGTTTGTTACTTTGCATTTGGAATAAAATTAGTAAAGCTTATGGTGCAAGGCCTTTGGTTACTTGTACATAAAAAGTATTCATTCAGTATTTATTGAAATAGTGGATGATGTTTGCCAGGAACCACACCTATTTGCTGCAGATACAAAGTCAAATAACACATGATCCCTATCATCAAGGAATTTACCAAAATATAATGAGAGACTAACCAGCACATAAGTAATTACAGAGTATGTGATAAAGAGGCACTGGAGCCATAGAAACACAGAAGTGGGACATAGGAGTCATTCTAGGGAAATTCAGGATGGCTGCAACGGAGGTAAAAAAAAGAAGTACAAGTTAGCTGGATGAAGATGCAGGAGAAAAGGTATTCCAGAATGGGGACCATAATTCATTCACTTAGCAAATATTTAGAGCATAAGTCAGATACCTATGAGCCCTATTTAATTTTAACCTTATGGAGGTAGCTTATTGTTATTCTCATTTCAAATACAAGGAATCTGGAGCTTCAGAAAAGTAGACTAAATGAGATTTGGAATTGAGCCTATATCTATATGTCTTCAAGATCCATATTTTTTCTGTTAACCCTGCTGATTGACATAAAATGAAACATTACCAAAAATCTGGAGCTGCTTCTTTAGCCAGAGGAAATGTTTACCCAGCCATTATCACGGCATACATGTTTTTGTGTAATGGTATTGCCCATTTTCAAGTTAGTCCTCTTGCCAAAAAGTGAAAAACAAAAGAATCCAAAGTTATAAAACCCTCACTCTGCCCCATTGCCCACAGGCCACTGATTAGAGGGCTCTGAAAATAATACAGAGCTGCAGCACGGGGTAAGATTATTTAAAGTGGAAAAGTGACTTCATGGAATTTGAAAGCTGAACTTCCAGGGCAAGGCAATAGAAAAGCTAAAATTTGGTAAAGGTTTGGTTTAGGGTGGGGAATGGGAGGGGGTGGGGGTGAGGAGACCAAAGAAAAAGATGAGCCTAAGTTTCAAGCTGTATGACCACAACGTTTGAGGTACCCTTAAAATAAGCATAGGAGGAAGAATAGGTTTGGAAAGATAAACCACTTTGAGACATTATGTGTTTTAAGGGCTTGTGGGATATGTCCAGTTGCAGATATAGGATTGGACCTTGGGAGAGACAGGTCAAGACATAGAGATTTGGAAGTATTCTACATTTTAAAAAAAGTTATTTGAAATCATGAGATTAAAAGAGAATGCCAGGGTTTAGATATTAGTGAACATGAAGAAAACCATTGGGAGAGAAAAAAGGGACTATAAAATGAGATGATCAGTTTTTTACATGGCTTGTTGAAATTCATCTAATTTCTTTATGTCACAAAACATATGCATATAAATGTATATAAAGACCATGTGAATGGGCATGTGGTGGGTAGCAATTTTAGTATGTTCACAGGCATGTGGGTTGGGTGACATTGAGTTATGAGGATATTAAAGACAGGGAGTAGGGTATTATGGTAAGTGAAATAAGTCAGAGAAAGACAAATACCACATGATTTCACTTATATGTGAAATATGTGAAACAGACCGATAAATACAGAGAACAAATTGATGGTTGCCAGAGTGGAGGGGGATGGCGGGAGGGGCAAAATGGGTGAAAGATAGTGAGAGATTCAGGCTTCCAGTTAGGGAATGAGTAAGTCACAGGGATAAAAGGTACAGCATAGGGAATATAGTCAATGGTATTGTTATAAGGCAGTATGGTGACAGGTGGTAGCTGCACTTATAGTGAGCATAGTATAACTTATAAACTTGTCCAGTATCTTTGTGGTACACCTGAAACTAATGTAACATTGTGTATCAACTATACTTCAATAAAATAAAGACAAGGAGTGACCAATTGTTAATTATGAAGTTTCACATTGAACTTCCTTTAATATAGAAAACAATTTCATACTAGGTAAACATTCATAAATAGGACGATAAAATAAATGATGTATAATGTAATCTTAGCTTGCCATTAATTAGTTTTAAACTTTGTTGTAATATATATTTTAAATTACAATTCTGAAAAGTTTTTTTCTTTTTTTAAAGATTTTATTCATTTATTTGACAGAGAGAGAGAGCACAAGTAGGCGGAGGCAGCAGGCAGAGGGAGAGGGAGAAGCAGGCTCTCCGCTGAGCAGGGAGCCTGACTCAGGGCTCAATCCCAGGACCTTGGGATCATGACCTGAGCCGGAGGCATCTGCTTAACCGACTGAACCACCCAGGCGCCCCTACAATTCCAAAAAGTTTATATTAATTTCTGATGAGTGTAGGGTGAAAAGGATAGAATTTCTCAGATTTTGGTTTTAAGAATTTTTAATTTTCTTGTGTAGTTCTTAAATTTCATTATTATTTCACATCAATAACTTCACAGATTAGATTTTTAATTTTAGGAGTGTTTTAGTTAATATTATTTTAGAAAGTTATCACCACTGGAAACTTATTTTAGGTATTTGTTTAGAAAGAGCATAGTAGTGTGCCTGGGTGACTCAGTTGGTTAAGCGTCTGCCTTCGACTCAGGTCATGATCCCAGGGTCCTGGGATTGAGCTCCGCGTCGGGCTCCCTGCTCCGCGGGAAGCCTGCTTCTCCCTCTCTCTCTGCCTGCTGCTCTGCCTCTCTGTGTCTCTGTCAAATAAATAAATAAAATTTTAAAAATAAAATAAAAAAATAAAAGAGCACAGTAGAATTATTGATAGAATGAAAAACATTAAGTTGGAATATTTAAAATTAAGAGTTTGTGAATATAACCTTCATTGAAAGATCAAACTCTAAATATCCACATGCATATTCACAATTTGACTCTTTACAAAAATTAAGGTACACATAGATCTTCATTACTTACAACAGTTCCCCCTTATTTTGGCACACATAAATAAGAGCTGACTGTGCAGATGAGATTACATAGTCTTTATTCCCAGTGTCCTACACTAAGATTGGAACATAAATTAACCTCTTCTATTAAAACTGTTACCAAGGATATGTCTTAGTAATACTAATTTCTAAAGCTAGGGCTCAAGTTTTT